GGCTACAGGGCAGTTTTGAATACATAGGATCTTTCAGACTGTAGGATGTTTAATGCATGATTTGTGTATGCATAAATGTATCCATGGACCCATCGTTGTTTTTTTATACTGAATCCCTGCATGTTTAAGAAATGATCCGCACGCGGAGCATGTATTAAAAACGGCACTGTAAACGATGCTGATCTTCTGCACCTCTTCTGAGGTCACGATGGGTGCACGGCGCGAAGCGCTGGCGCCCACATCCTGGCGAGCGCGCCCCGAACAAGCAGACGAGCCAAGACCGCGATGTTCAGATGATCGCTCCGGGGGCCTTCCTGGAGCCGCTGGCGCCACACGTGCGTCGATGCTGCGTCGAACGTGCGTCGACGTGAGTCGAACTTGCGTCGAGGTAGAGTCGAGCTCGAGTCGAGTGAAGAGCCGAAGTAGATTTGGAGTAGACTCGGACTAGAGTCGAACAAGTCTGCTTGGTGGTCTCCACAAAGGTCACAAAAACAATCGTCTAGCACGCTGAGCGAAATACCGCACCCCACACAGATCACCAAAATGAGCAGAAGCGCGGGTACGCGCGCGCGCACGTCTGGGCGCCCGGCCAGCATGTTCAACAGACTGAAGAAGGTGAACCAGGTGTAGATCGTGAAGATCAGCCACGATGTCTTGTCCTGGGGGACAGCGCTTCCGACCCCCGCCATGGCTCCATGATGCTGCAGCGGCGGGCGGGAGGCAAAGCGCCGTGCGTGCGGAATGACGGAGGATCATGCAAGGAACACCGAACACAGCTCGAAAGGCTTGGCTTCGAGCGCGATCGTGCACACATCGGTCCGAGTCTGCCGCCCTGCAGCGACCGCCGCGAAGGCACGCAGGCAAAGCGGACTCGGTCTTGCAGGGGGGGCTCCGCGCTGCGGCCCTCTGTTCTGCATCACGCGCGCACTGCTCCACTCCACCCGCCCTGCGAACAGAACGCCTGCGGGTCCTGCAGCGGCGCTGCAGCCAAATGGCTGAAGATGCTATGCGCGCGGTGATGCCCCACAAGAGAGGCACGGTCAAGCCCATGGAATAGCGCAAATCGGAAGGCACAAACTGGAAGGCTTCTCCGCCGAGTCGCTTAGTAAGCATCCCCCCATCCACCCTGCCCCACGGCCCGCTCTTTGCACCGAAGCGATCACCTTCGCGCCCCTGGGGGTGACATAGGGGACCAGAGAAAGGCCAGAGAAAGGGATGAAATCCGCCGACCGTCGGCGCGTGCGAGGGGTTTGTCTGTTCGAGTCGTCGTCGCCGTCAGTCGTCGTCTGCGTCGTCCCCTTTCCCTGCACCCTACTCAAGCCTGTCAGCAATGGAAAAAACCTCGCAGTGTCATAATCGAATCGAAGGGAAGCCCCTTCCTTTTGATCCCTCCCCCGTCGGGGGGGGTCCTGGGGGAGGGGGGGTCAGATACGCATCCCCCCTGGGGGTCCCGGGGCTGCAAAAAGTACAACAACAAGCCAAGAGTGCCCGAAGAGGCCCTCGAGACGGTCCAAGAGGGCCCCCAATCGCCAAACGATCTGTCCAAAACGCACTCACGCTCCCAGACTGCCCACGAGACTTCCAAGACGCCCCAAGAGGCCTCCAAAGGCACTCCCGAGAGGGCCCCAAGAGGCAAAAATCATTGATTGTCCTAAGGTTGTTTTGCAGATTTGGGCGTTCTCGCCTTTTCCGCTTCCCGCCGTTCCAAGACGGCCGAAGAGGCCCTCAAGATCGCCCCAAGACGGCCCAAGAGGCTTCCAAGAGCGCTCCAAAACATCCCAAGAGAATCTCAAGACAACCCAAAACGCCTCCAAGACGGCCCAAGAGGCCCCCAAGACGGCTCCAAGAGCGTGCCTTGACGGGGAACCCGAACGGATATTTCGAGCCCTCGGCCCCGAGAAGCTCCCAGGAGGCCCCAAGAGGTTCTCAAGTGGCACCAAGAAGCCCGCAAGAGGCCCCCAGGACACCCGAAAAGGCCCCTCAGAGGCCCCCAGAAGCTCCCAAGAGACCCCAAAATTCCTCCCCAGGGGCCCCCGAGAGCCTTCCCAAGAGAACCCAAGAAGCATCCCTCAGGACTCGGGCCCACGTCAGCGTCGTCGTCGCCACCGCCGCCACCGCCGCCGTCGTCGTCCCCCTTCAGGGTCGGCGGCGGCACCAGCCGTAAGGCCTTCGCAATAATCTCGATCGAAGCAATCCTTAAGCAGACTGAACATAACCACCCGTGGAAAAAGCCAGTGGCACCCCGATTGCTTTGGGAGAGGACGGGTGAAAGGCTGGACGCGGCCGAATTGACAGCTTCTCGCTGGCTAGAAGAAGCCCTGTCGCGCTGGGATCGGAAGCTCGAAGAGCACCAACCACTTGGGGTCTCAAGCATCGTGTGAAATACTGATGACCCCCAGAACTCCGACGTGGTGCTCTTGTCACAACCTTGACCTCTGGAAGTCTGGACCCCTTCCCCAGGACCGGCTTCTCATCATCCCGAGTCGATTTCTGACAGCCC